AATTTATGTGTTTAATTGAAAATTTTTGTTTTTATATTTTTTTAAATATCGGTGCCATAGGCTTCTACTCCGTTCGCATGTTACACCCTACTTTCTTCCAGACGGTAAAAAGGTCATCTAGTATATAATTCTTCTGTTTGCGTGTATGTGACTGAACTCCTCGTAAAAGACTAGCCCGATTTTAATGAAATTTGGTGTGCGTGATTGAGTTGATTCGACAATGGTTTAGATTTACAATTGGACTCGGTAGATGGCGATATTATCGAGATCTAGAAATCACCCGTGCGAAGTCGGAGTGGATCGCTAGTGTATATGTGAACCGTGGAATGATATAAAACTGAATTTGACGGCTCCGTAGCGTAATGGCTAAACATTTATACGCGGCGCTGCTGCGCTGAGGATTCGAGTGTTTGTATGGCCTGTAAATCTTTTTTTCAGGTCCACGATACAGTAGAAAAAGGTACGTAACTAAATTTTTTATCATTATTCCAATTCGTTATTTGTGAGCCGTGGTAGTTCAGATGGTTAGCACTCGCTGTAAATTTCACAGTACGCGAGCAACCCGGCTTCGATCCCCGACGGTAACAATAAATTTATTAAATGCGATTTTAAATGCTGATTTACTGCGTACTCGACGGTAAAGGAAAACATTGCGAGGAAACCTGCATATCTGAGAAGTAAGAAAAAGAATATTTCGAAGATATGATGTCAAGGTCGTCAACATGCATTGGGGCAGCGCGGCGAACACTTCTTTGCCCTTTAGGGACCTGAAGCTTATTATCGTGAAAAACTACTCTTATTGTGCTTGATGGACGTAGCGGTGGCCCATTGAACTCAAACTCAATAATGACTCAAGATTGTGAAAAAATAATAGATTGGTTAAGACATCAATATCATCATCATTACAGATCTTCACAAGTCTTACACCGATCTGCAGTTGGATGAGTTTTGTACTCGGACAGCCATCGTAGTCCTACTGTACTAACACTACACTATTTCTATATACCGACAGTCAACTTGGCAACTCTGAAGGGACTGTGAAGAGGACCGCCCAAATTTCGACGTAATCAAAGGATTTTCCACAGTCCACAAACGCAAGACAGACTGTGTGCTTCAGACTCCTAAACAATTTGCCGAAGGGCATGTGTGTGGTTTATGATGCTGAAGCCCTTTCAGAAACCAGCTTGTTCGAAAGGCCTGAAGTCGTGCAGTCTGCGTGCGAGACAAATCGTAATGACTCTTGGAAATAGCACGTAAACGCGGCTCAGAAGGGAAATCGTTCAGTAGTTCCTCAAGAGAGTATTGTCGCTTTTCTAGAAGAACAAGATCACCGGTCTTTTACTCCACTCCTCCGGAGTAGTGATACCATGAAGGAAGGAGTTGAAGAGTTTCTGAAAGACTTCTAGTATCCATTTTCTACCCGCTTTCAGAAGCTCCTCTGTAATTACATCCTCGCCCGGTGGCTTGCCATTTTTATGGTGCTGGAAAGCCATTCTAACCTTGCCCAGGCTGACATCTGGGATATCAGCGGAATAGTGTCGGATAAGACTTGCTCTTGGATCGTTACTCACACTTGCATGTGGCTCCAATGATGAGTACAACTGCCAATAGAACCTCTCAATTTCACTCAAAATGTCAGGTGTCCCGGAAACGATGCTGCCACATTCAGTCTACAGTTTCAACAGTTGGATCTTTCTGGCGGACAGATCTCTAGCAAACACTTTGGAGCCCTGGTTGCACTCCATCACTTCTTCAATACGAGCTGTATTGAAGTTGCGTAAGTCTCGCCGCATGCATTTGGACATTTGTCTGTTCAGTTGCCTGCATGCTGTCAAATCTGCTGAAGACTGCAGCTTCATGCGTCATATTGTGTGGCGATAAATGTAAAAAATTTAGGTTATTTTAAAGGGATGGATATTTAAAAGTAAATTATTTTTATTTGTAAATTTCTTTTAAATAAAAGTTATTACTCGATAAATGACTTCTTAAATGATAAATTTGACTCGAATTGTAATTATTGAAATTAATCTGAACTTAATTTATTAACATGTTTAAACTAAAATATAATATGAATTAATTGATCGATATTTTTGTTTTTTATAGATGCTATTTAGTTTCCATAAGTATCTTTATATTCTACAAATATAAAGATACTTATGGAATGTCTTGATTTTCTATTATATCCTAACATAATCTATATCAAAATATTTGCACGCTGGGAACGGCAGAATATGAGGTTTTCTGGCCTTTTCCATTATGGCCTCTTAAAAACGGCCACCGAAAAATTGAGGCGCTGGACAATCCAGCGCCTCAATTTTTCGGTGGTTCGGTACACCACCACCACAAGGCCTTTTTAACAACATCGATAACAAATGCAATGTTTAAGTATATAGTGCTGAATAAAAGCCTGATATAGTAATAACTTTATTATTCGAAAATTGCAATTGTTACAACTTTAGCTTTATTCTAATTTAAACAAAATAAAGACGACGATGAACAACAACTTTGGAGTCATTATCGTTTGGCCCGCGTCCGAAGTTTAATGGTACTCCAGAAAGTAGCTCAACCTTCATTATCCAATAAGTTATCATAAGTGCTCTAAAGAAATCAAAATATTGTTACTAAAATAATTTTATCACAATTGGTATTACTTTTATAATTTTATAACAAAGTTTAAAACAAAAGATAATTTTGTCCAAAAGTTTGATAAAAAATTAAATGTTACGTTTTCTAAACAACTAATTTATGAAATGATTTCTTACATTAACATCAACACTACATATTGAATAAAACTATTTTATCACGTAAAATTTTATTTATTTGTAACTCCCGACGTTGCAGGTGTTACACGCGAGGCTGTTGAAATTTAAAAAGACTTAAATGTTGAAGGAGGCTGGGTACTATGCTATGCTACTATGGGTATGCTGAGAATATGAGAGACTTCATGCAACATTAAGTTTATTCTGCGTAGTTCTATATCGATATATATATATATATATATATATATATATATATATATATATATATATATATATATATATATATACTTATAGCAGAGGGGGCAAACGAGCATGCGGCTCACCTGATGTTAAGTGACTACCGCCGCCCATGTTCAACCGCAACACCAGGGGAATTGCAGGTGCGTTGCCGGCCCTTTAGAAAGGAGTAAGCTCTTTTCTTGAAGGTCCCCAGGTCGTATCGGTCCGGAAAAATCGCCGGTGGTAAACTATTCCACAGAGAGGTTGTACGCGGAAGAAAACTCCTTTTGAAACGTACTGTGGTGGACCGCCAAGCATCCAGATGGTGTGGATGGCATCGGGTTGTTTGCCGCGGAGTGCGTTCACGAAATTTGGCGGCTGGGATTAATCCGAACAATTCCTCAGAGCACTCTCGATGGTATATGCGAAATAAAATGCAAAGAGATGCAACATTTCTTCGCAGTGCCAGTGAATCGAGCCGATCGGAAAGCACTCGGTCGTCGAGGATTCGAGCCGCTCTGCGCTGGATGCGGTCAAGTGGAAGGAGCTGGTACTGGGGAGCCCCAGCCCAGAGATGGGGAACAGTATTCCATGTGCGGCCGAACCTGCGCCTTGTAACGTCGCAGGCGGTGTGCCAGCATGAAATACGGTCCCGCTCTGCTGAGCACGCCAAGCTTTTTAGAGGCCAATTTGGCAAGTGACCACGAAACTGCACGTCACTCGATATGTCAACGCCGAGGATTCCGATACTGGCTGAGGCAACAAGGGGAGTGCCTTGAAACTGAGGAGATACGACAAAGGGGTTCTTTTTAGCGGTTAACGCGCAAACTTGTGTCTTCTGGGGGTTAAACTGAACTAGATTTAGTCGCCCCCCAATCCGAGACTGCATTCAGCAATATATATATATATATATATATATATATATATATTAAAATTTCGGGCAATGTTGGCGTGTTTCACGTTTCACGAAATTTTAAAATAAATCTAGATATCTCAAGATTTTTGTATGCAACCCAGGACATATTTTTTATCTGTGTCAGCACTAAGATCATATGTATGCATTGACACCGTCAAATTTAGCTTCCGAAATCGTTTTCTTGATCATATAGTCAATTTTCAATGCGGGCAAAGTTATCTGGACTTTTAGCCAACATTACCCACCGAGATTTTAACGGAACTATAGCTCTTATTTCAATGATATTAAAAATAATAAAAGCATTTTGGCAATAAAAGCGAGTATATAAAAAATCTAATCGATATCAAACATATTTTCAAACTAAAATGAATGGGCAATATTACCCTGATATTTTTTCTCTTCTCCATACAAACGGTAAGAAGCGATTTAAAAGTGCTAGGGTTGTCATATTTGAGTTAAAATAAAACATAATATATTAAATTTTATAAAGTATGTGGGAAGAGGCAATTAAGAAAAAATATTTTTAAAATGCAAAGTTGTTTATTAAAGGGTTTAATTGTGTTTAATTGACTAAATTTGTTACAGAAATCAACATTGTTAAAAAATGATAAAATTTGTTTTATGTTTAAAACTTAAGAAAAATAAAATACTTAGAGACATACACCTCACAAACTTAAGCTATTTCACTAAAAGTATACAGACCCGCTACATATATCTACCTTACCTATACCTTTTGCCATAATATATCGCATGAAATTTAAACAAATAAATTTATATATACTAACTTATCAAATGCAAACTAGACGTTTTCAATCATGTTTCCCGATTACGATACGAGGTACGGCATAGATTCTCAGTCTTTTAGGTACTTATCAATAATATTCATTGGTGAATTCAGTCTTAAAAAAATCACTTCAGTCATATAATCTATATTTTTTCCTAACTAATCAACAATATCATTAATCAATATACTGAGCATTTCTAAGAACTTAATTAAATTATTCTATCAAAAATGTAGTCTTAATCAAAATTCTTAGTAATTAAAATTAATAATAAATTTGAATAATTAATTTCAACAGTCAAAAAAGTTTGTTGCGTTATTTTTATTATATGTTGAAATTACTGAGATCTACATGAAATACAATCTGACCACGTCGAGTAATCGTTGGCTCGGGTAAAACTGTTAAAACATCTTCTAAATGTTGTATGTTGCAAATGTCATCAACGGTTGGATATGAAAAGGTCATTCCTGTATTACATTTAGATTCTTTAACTTTTCGTAAAAATTTAACCGTAGGAGTTACACCATTAATCGACAAAACCTTACCGACAAAGTATTTCAAACTCTTTTTGGTGGAGAATCGAACAATAATCCAGTCATTTACTTTAAGTCTTTCTTGATTTTCAGAAAAATATTTAAACTCATGTAATCCAAAGGAGGTTATTACATCAGGGAGCTCAAAATTTTCCTTATCTTCTTGTTCTCTTAGGGTTTCAGAAATGTAAAAATCATTTATTGTTTCATAATCATCATCTGTGTCAACTGTCATAAAATCATTACCCGCAGATATCGAGCTTGACTCACTATCGTCTGGTATAGGCCGCCTTCTTTTGATTGAAGTACGTCGTCTGGCTGATTTTTTCCCTTTTGAATTATTCTTAACCTGTTTCTTTCTATCACTTTTCGTATCTTTCCTAGTATGTTTCTTCTTTATTTTCTTCGCGACTTTCTTTTTCTTCCCTTTCAGGCATTCTGGTAAATCAGTTTCATGTGTGGCATTGAACGATATATTTTCAGTGTTATCAGACAGTTCCTTTAAAAAACAAACATCAGTCACCGGTGTTCCTGCTTTTAGGAGTACATTTGAAAGTATTGTTATTTTATTTTTAATAGGACGATCTTGCATGGAGTTTTCATAATCCTTTCCAGCAATTAATATTTTGGTGGTACTATTTGCGAAATCTTTTGAATGTAAATGATCTGTGAGTGATTTTCCAGTTTTAATACGCAATGATTGGCCTAAATAAAAATTAATTACATTGATACATTGTCTACTAAGGTTTTCAGGAATATAATTATCCCTATACTGAGCGATACTTAAAGACTCTTTGAAGTCTTGAACAAAATTTGTACAAGTATTTGAACAAAGATCAGTACGTTCTGCTACAAAAAGGCCAGTATGTTCATCTAAATAGAACGATTCTTGATTTTTTTTTTTGCACATTACCCAATTTAACGGATTTGGCTTTTGTTTTTTTATTGCAAGTATCCACATTTAAATCAGAAATGCTTACTGATTTGCCAGGCTCGCAATCAATTTTTTTACTCCTCTGTACTTGCGTAGGCTTTTGAGCTCTGGTTTCTAACAAATAATCTACCAGTACTTTATCGATTCCACAGGACAGTATTTCCCCTTGTATTTATGGAATCTTCTTAAGGACTTCCTGTGGATTCAGGGGAAATATTCCCGATGCCCTAAAGCCACTTATTATGTTCTTTTTCTGTTATTTTAATTGCTTCTGTTAATTCATTAAGCAATTTCGGAAAATGTTTTTTGTTTAATGTGGCTTGGGTTGGATTCTTGAGCTCGTATTGGTACAAAATTTTACGCCAGCATCTTTTCAAAGGCGCAAAAAAATGCAACATCTTGTGGTTGCGTGAGATGTGTAGATCTCGGAGGGATGAATACAAACTTAATGTCATGTTGCTCGCATGACTCTACTACTTTGAAACTCAAATGGCTAGATAGGTTATCGCAAAGGACAACTTTTGTCCCGACCATTTCATTTGCCCATGGAAGAATTATTGTTTCAAAGTAATTCTCAAACGTGGCGCTGTCAAACCAACCTGACTTAGTACAATTGTATCTGGTTTCCGGTGATCCTTCATTAACCCATTCTGAGTATAATTTTGTTGCTTTGTAAACAACATATAAAGGAAGGCACCTACCATCTGCGGTAGCCGTAAACATAAGGGATATGGTTCCTTTGGTGGAATTAACTATTCTCCCTGGATATTTTACTCCCCTTCTAAAAATGCTCTTAGAAGAGCCAGGGTCGTCGGAAAGGTTGGTCTCATCGAAATTTACGATATTTTCTGCTGGTATGTTTTTTAATGTTGAAGTTAAGTTATTAAAATAGTTTAGTATGTCTTGAGCTCCCCTTTCAGCTCTCGCCTTTGAAATATTTTGGGTAGTTCGTAAGGTCAATTCATCAGCATGCCTTGCCAAAAAGCTTTGTACCCAAGCATCACCGGGAATCTTATTCTTAAAAATATGATCTCTTGAGTTTTTTTTTTTTGAGATATTCGTAAACCAATAGCTTTAGATCAAGTTTTGTAAGCGGGGAGCCAAAATCGCTAGAAGCTTGTAAAACCTTAACAATTTGATCCTCTTCTTTAGTTGATAGAGCAGTAGGATGTCCGACAGACTTAATGTGAACTCGTTTTATTTTATTAACTATAGTCCGCGAACACTACACATTGAAATAATACTAGATTTTACGGAATTTATCGCGTATATTTAACTTTTTAATACCCGACGTTTCGAACGCTTCACAGCACTCATGGTCACGGGCGGGACTGAGATGTTCAACGTCCATATGTCATAGTTAACCGCGGTTACCATAGATTAAGATTTTAACTTTTGTTCCGATCTATGCAGTATGAACTTATGGTATCTTGAAGTCTTGCAGTTGTATGCTTGGGTTGGGATTTAATTTTATTTATTATAGGATCCCAAGCAGATGGTAGCACCAGCCATCTTCTCTATTGAAATTAGGATGTTTTTTGATTTCAATAGCCTCGCGAATCATCCTTGGAAGGAATCGGTGTTCTTTAGCGAGGATTTGCGGTCTATCAAATCTGATGTAGTGACGGGGGCGATCCTGTACGTGTACGACGCTCCGGGAAGTCTGCAGTCTGTGAACACGTACAGGATCGCCCCCGTCACTACATCAGATTTGATAGACCGCAAATCCTCGCTAAAGAACACCGATTCCTTCCAAGGATGATTCGCGAGGCTATTGAAATCAAAATACATCCTAATTTCAATAGAGAAGATGGCTGGGTGCTACCATCTGCTTGGGATCCTATAATAAATAAAATTAAATCCCAACCCAAGCATACAACTGCAAGACTTCAAGATACCATAAGTTCATACTGCATAGATCGGAACAAAAGTTAAAATCTTAATCTATGGTAACCGCGGTTAACTATGACATATGGACGTTGAACATCTCAGTCCCGCCCGTGACCATGAGTGCTGTAAAGCGTTCGAAACGTCGGGTATTAAAAAGTTAAATATACGCGATAAATTCCGTAAAATCTAGTATTATTTCAACTATAGTCCGCCTTGGGATTCCAAACTGTCTTTGAGCATCTCTTGATGAAATTTGACCTGATTGAACAGATTCACATGCAAGCATCAACATTTCTTCAGAGTAATTTTTATACACCCTGGATCCAAGTTCACGTCTTGACCTCCTTTGTGAAATACGTGATTTATGTTTGTTTTTCTGAAATAAAAAATGCAAATTATTTTATGATAATAACATAGTAAATAAGATAACTCATCTATTCATGGAAATTACATAAATTCTCAAAAAAAAAGTAATTTTAACCTACTAAAAAAAGTTTAAAATTTTTAAAATAATGACAATTTTCGAGCTAAAAAGAAAAGAGACGAAAAAAAAGTAAGTACGAGCTAAAAAGCGTAGGGAATAGCTAACCAGAGTCACTATGGCGTTATGGTCTACCATAAAAACACAACATACTACACCATGAACCCAGAAAGCATTACATTCATTTTTGGCGGTCATGTAAAGAGAAAATAAAAAGTGTAAACCCTTAACGTTTTTTGACGACTGGCAATGTTGACATTTACATGACTGCACATCACTTGGTAACTTTGCCCGCCTTCATAACTTTTGTAACACACAACCTACAGCAATGAAACTATTATCAAAATACTCAGCACATTGTTTTACACAACAAACATACGATTAAACTTACCTGTGTTTTCGCCATAATGCACAATTCACTTGAAAAAATCCACAGAAATTGGCCCGCCAAAAAACGCACCGTTTTCGACAAGTGCCGACAGATAACTGAGTGACGTTGAGATCGGAAACAGTATTTTGTGTTGCCACACGTATATTTTATTTTCTGCCAATATTATAAATGCTGTCCGAAGTTTGGTAATTTTTTTTTATTAGTTGATTTCCTTAAAAATTGTGTTTCGGGAAGTTTTCCCTGGTGGCAAAGTTGGCGTATTTCACGGTATACATATATATATATATATATATATATATATATATATATTTATATATATATATCGGTCTTATCTTATTAATTAGCTTATCCTTCAGTGATTCCACACAGATTAAAAAATCCAACGCTTAAGGTGACAAAATTGGAAAAAACTTTCTTTACGAACCTCTTTTTAAATGACATTCTTCAAAAGAGCAAAAAATTTTAATAGAAAGTAGAGCAGACCTTTAAAATTAAAATTATTTCCACGTCTTAAGAGTGACTCGAGAAGTTATTAAAGTTTATTTATAATTTTGTAAATACTAATACAATTTCGTTTTAAGTCATTTTATATTTACTAATGTTAATATACATTTATTAAGTCGATAAATGTTGTCCACGAAATATTTTCAGACCATTTGCTTGCAAATTATGAGTGCATGCAACTCTTTATTATTATTTTTTTTTTCATGGTTTTATCCAATCATTCCATTCTGTAATACTGGAAGGTGTTAAATGAAAGGGAGGCGTGTTACTCTTGCCATGACTTTAATTATACTGCTCCCAAGAGTATAGTACCTGTCCTATACAGGAATACTACTATAACCTTATTCTACTTTAAAAAAAAACTTATGTTTGTTATAAATATAAGGTACAAAAATAAAATATGTAGTATATTCTATAGGTAGGCCGGGTGGTCAGATCCCCCAGATGTCCCATATTAATGTCGAGGTCACAATTTTGTACATAGTTTCGTCACAGTTTATTAATGATATAAGATTTTTTCGACAAGCCTGTTTGACAGGCCTGTTGGTTTAGTGGTTAGTGACCCTGACTGCTATGCCGGAGGTCGTGGGTTCGATTCCCACCCAGGACAAATGTTTGTGTGATGAGCACGATCATTTGTTCTGTGTCTGGGTGTAATTTATCTATAATATTTATGTATTTAGAAATATATAAGTATGTTTATCAGTTGTCTAGTACCCATAACACAAGCTCTGCTTAGCTTGGGACTAGATAGCGTTGTGTGATAGTTGTGGAAAAAAAAAAAAAAAAATAAAAAAAAAACTAAAGGCACAACAAAGGATAAAATATAAAACAGCTCATTTAGTTCTAAATTAGACACACATTAATACACTACGTTACAAGAGAGCGACCGGCGGCAGCGGACGTCCTTTTATATTCCCGGCCGTCTCCACTTCCATCCAGGCGGAGCGCGCTTTCTCATTGGAAGCAAAAATTACGCCACATATTTTTCCTCCTCCCCTCCCCCCCCTCAGTGCGTGCGGAAAGGAATACGGATGGGATGGTAGAATGTACCGGATAATTACTAACTAACAGAACAATAAAACGCGAGGGTATTCGTTTTCTGCGCAACCATTATTGGTTAGGTAAAGGACAGAGACTGACAAAAGGACGCATATATGACCCGCGCGCGCTCCTAACACGAGCTGTCTTCGTTACTCCGTCGGATCCAGGAAAAACTTCTTCAACGATCCCCAATAGCCAATGAAGAAGCGGCATGTTTTCTTTAGTGAGAATAACTACCGTTCCAACCGTTAATTGTTTAATGGTCGTGTTCCATTTCTGCCGAGATTGCAACGATTGCAGATATTCCGATTTCCATCGCTTCCAAAGTGATTGCACTAGCCTGTCTAACAAGCCATGATGTGAAAGAACATGGAGTTTATCATCGTCTATAGCGGATAAATACTTCAAAGGTGTTAGATTCAAAAAATGTGCTGGAGTTAGAGCCAGCGGCTCCGAGGGGCCACTCGACAACGTACTACAAAAGGGACGGCTGTTCATAACGCACTCGATTTGTGCGAGTACAGTGCTTAATTCTTCAAAGGATAACATTTGATTTCCAATCACGCGATATAAGTGACTCTGTGGACTTTTAATATTAGTCTCCCAATTCCCCCCAAATTGACTTGCGGCTGGAACGTTCGAAGACCACTCGATGCGATAATATTTAGAGGATAAGAACTCGTGTAACTCTGATAAGACACGTTTTTCTCCTACGTAGTTTATACCATTATCCAAGTATACGTTACTTACTGGGCCGCGGCAAAAAAGTAACCTTTTAGATGTACCCAGGAAGCTAACTGTGCTTAGATCACCGGTGAGTTCTATGTGTACAACGCGAGTAATCAAACACACGAAAATACAAACATACGCCTTCGTGGATCTTACACCACGCCCACGAGTAAGCGTGACCTTGAATGGACCAGCAAAGTCTGACCCGGTGTGCATAAAAGGCTTTGCAGATTGTGTTACACGACAAGACCTAAGGTCCGCCATTTCCGGGAATGACGGCCTAGGACGAACTCGAAAGCAAGCTATACAGTTATACATCTGTGCACCCGATTGCGGATTAATTTGCGTGCAGAAAGAATACAATAATTCTGCCGCAAAGTAGAAATCACCAATTCAGGGCCAGCTTGACAATTCAATTTATGGTGGTAATCAACTAATAAATTAAAAATACGATCTTTACGCGGTAAAACTACAGAGTGTCGTTGATCTAAACTTAAATGTGGGTAGGATAAGCGCCTACAAATCGGCAAAAGTAAATTACGCTACGCAATATAAACTACATATTAACAGTTGATACTACAAACAGTAATAAATATTGGATAATCACTTTCATCGGCTTTGAAGAGAAATTCATTAAACTGAATTTATGTACAAATAGGTACTTATGTTTTCAGCGATACTAAATGGCTTATTTGTTAAGCTAGACATGGATCCCGGATTTATACCAGCCATAGTAGTTAGGCAATATAGATGGCACATATATTTATATGTAAAAAATGTCGTAATTACTAGTACTAGAAGCAAATATAAAGCTTGAACAATAACAGTTTAAATAAAAAATAGCATAAACGGATATATCCTTGATGTTTTTGGACCATACCCTGTGATGGAATCACATGCTTCTATTAAGCTTAGACAGTTTGTAGTGTTGTTAACTCTGCAAAAAGGAATATTTTTTTGTCATCTACAAATCTATGAACGTGGTAGAGCCGCGCTGCAGCTATATTGTGGTTGTACGAGTAGCACAAATGGGTCGGCTCGACCTGGGAAGGACCACGCTCCCACAGAATCCCAGCGAAAAAAGCAAATTTATACCGCTGTGTTTCGTATGGTGTGTGTAGAGATCCGGAGACGTTTTTTTACTGGAAACGAGGCATTCCATCTTAGTCCTCAGAGGTGACAAAAAGTTATATATACGTTTAGATTCTTAATTGAGGATAAATATGGTGGACTATGTGCTCGTTTGTCATACTTATTTTATAAAGTCAGATACTTAAAATAAAAATAATATCTTTTTCTCCTACATGAAGCCAGTGAAAATAAAATGTAAGACAACTATTACATAATCGAATATCGTTGATGTTAATCAATAATTACTGCTTCTGTATTTGATCAGCCGGAGCTGATTAATAATGCTGTATAAATTATAATAATTTCTTTTTTATTTAACGTACAGAAATATGTGAACATAGTTTATTGACGTTGAAGGCATAGTCTTATATCTCTTATTATTAAAAATGTCCTTTTGATTCCTATGTAATATAGAAAAAATAATATATTGATAAGAATTATTATTTAGTTAAGACACCTTTACAATATTTATTAACTTCTTTTCAGGTGGATCGCTTAGAACAAATTTGTATTCCTTGCAGGCTGAAAGCTTGTAGAGAAAAAAATTTATGGATATTGAAGACAACAGTCTTATATCATATCCCTTATTATTTAAAATGCCCTTTTGATTTCTAACAATTTCATAAATGGATATGTTATCAGTTACTTTGAAAAAATCTTTTGAAATCCATCTATCACAAAAATGTTTCTACCTATGTCCGTTATAGACTTTGAACCAACCAATTTTGATGAAAATGTTTGTGTGTTTTTGAATGGATCTTTAGATGGTTTATATTTACACTTAGACTCGGTAGATGACGCTATTGTCGAGATCCATAAATCCATCCAATGATCCATAAGCGAAGCTTGGGCGGATCACTTTTAATAAATATAATTAAATTATATCTGTGTTTTTGTGATCCTTATAGTTTAAAACATCTTACTTCCTCACTAATTATCTGTGTGTTACTATTTTTTTTTATAGGATAGGGTGACAAACGAGCACACAGTCCACCTGATGGTAAGTGGTTGCTGTGGCCCATAGACATCTACATCTATCCTCATATGCGATTCAAAATACAGATGCGTTCAACAAGTTTAAAAACTTTAATTAACAAGTTTGTATAAAGAGGGTTATTATAATAATAAAGAATTTATGGATGATAAGAACCCCTGGTTAAGGAGATCTCTACCGAGCTATTTCTAATTTGTTTTGTGTTGTTAATTGTAACATCCATGATTGTAAGCTGTTATTTAAAAAAAAGTCCCACTGGGTTTCTTGCTGGTTCTCCCCAAGACAGAGGTTTTTGCTAAAAAACCTCTGTTCTGTTTTCGTTTCTGTACTATTATAGAATAGGGGTGACAAACGAGCACGGTCCACGTGATGGATAGTGGATGCTGTGGCCCATAGACATCTATATTTAACCTCGATTAAGAATCGTTGTGAGGACTAAGATGGAATGCCTCGATTCCTGTAAAACGGGTCTCCACATACGAAACACAGCAGCATTACGCTGCTATTTTACTCTGATATTCTGTGAGAACGTCGTCCTTCCTCGGTCGAGCCGACCCATTCGTGCTACAACCATAATATAGCTGCAGCGTGGCTCTACCATATATAAAACCTC